TTCTGGGAGGTGATCAGCGACGAGCATGGCATTGATCCCACCGGCACGTACCACGGAGATAGCGACCTCCAGCTGGAGCGTATCAACGTGTACTACAACGAGGCCACCGGTAAGACTTCTGCCCTTCCGTCCTCCCGACCTCTCCTCCGGTTTGACCACGCTTGACGATCCCCTGTCCCACCAGGTGGCAAGTATGTGCCCCGTGCCGTGCTTGTGGACTTGGAGCCCGGCACCATGGACTCAGTGCGCTCCGGGCCCTTCGGGCAGATCTTCAGACCTGATAACTTCGTCTTCGGTGAGTGCGGTAGGGGGTATGGGCGGAGCTTGCTAACCCTGACGCTCAAAGGTCAAGGGGCTGACCTAAAAGTCTCTGCTGACTAGCTGCCCAGGTGTAACACTTTCCTGCTCTCTGAGTTACTCAATCCCTTGGTCGAAAGCAGCTTTGGGAGAAAGGTCTGTCTGCCAGTAGCCTAGTTGCTGGTAGAGTGTGAGCAAACCTAACCTGGTGGCAGGGGTCCCTGTGCTGCCCTTGAATATTGGCAGAGCTGCCTGGGAAAGTGTTTACTGTCTTACTGTCTAGCTCTGGTGTTCGTCTTTTTTTTTTTTTTTTTAACGTGGTAGATTGCTTTGGTGTCACTTAAAGGGTCTGTTCACTTTTAGAGGTGACAATCTCACACTGTTTGTCTTTGGCACATACCTAGTTAGTGACCAGTTGTTTTCTTTTACAGGTCAGAGTGGGGCTGGGAACAACTGGGCCAAGGGGCACTACACAGAAGGAGCAGAGCTGGTTGACTCGGTGTTGGACGTTGTGAGGAAGGAAGCCGAGAGCTGTGATTGCCTGCAGGGCTTCCAGCTGACCCACTCCCTGGGTGGGGGGACTGGTTCTGGGATGGGTACCCTCCTTATCAGCAAGATCCGGGAGGAGTACCCGGACAGAATCATGAACACCTTCAGTGTGGTCCCTTCCCCCAAGGTGTCGGACACAGTGGTTGAGCCTTACAATGCCACCCTTTCAGTTCACCAGCTCGTTGAAAACACAGATGAGACCTATTGCATTGATAACGAAGCACTCTATGACATTTGTTTCAGAACCCTAAAGCTGACCACACCCACTTACGGTGACCTGAACCATCTAGTGTCCGCCACCATGAGTGGGGTAACCACTTGCCTGCGATTCCCTGGCCAGCTAAATGCTGACCTACGGAAGCTGGCTGTAAATATGGTGCCCTTCCCTCGGCTGCACTTCTTCATGCCTGGCTTTGCCCCCTTGACCAGCCGGGGCAGCCAGCAGTACCGAGCCCTGACAGTTCCTGAGCTCACTCAACAGATGTTCGATGCCAAGAACATGATGGCCGCCTGTGATCCCCGCCATGGGCGCTACTTGACAGTGGCTGCCGTGTTCAGGGGCCGCATGTCTATGAAGGAGGTGGATGAACAGATGCTTAACGTCCAGAACAAGAACAGCAGCTACTTTGTTGAGTGGATCCCCAACAATGTGAAAACAGCTGTCTGTGACATTCCACCTCGGGGCCTAAAAATGTCCGCCACCTTCATCGGCAACAGCACTGCCATTCAAGAGCTGTTCAAACGCATCTCTGAGCAGTTCACAGCCATGTTCCGACGCAAGGCCTTCCTGCACTGGTACACGGGTGAGGGCATGGATGAGATGGAGTTCACTGAGGCTGAGAGTAACATGAACGACCTGGTGTCTGAGTACCAGCAGTACCAGGACGCCACAGCTGAGGAGGAGGGCGAGTTTGAGGAGGAGGCTGAGGAGGAGGTGGCCTAGAGCTGTCGGAAGCAGCTACAGCATGGGAGCAGTGTGAACTCTTTATTCATTCACATCTGTCTGCTAGCCATGTCCACTGTGCATTTGCTGTCCTGTCCTGACATCACTTGTTCAGATATACCACCATTAAAGCAATTCATAGTGTGTGGCTTCGCCTCTCCAGTTCCTTCTGATAGGCTTTTCGGGTGCTATTACCGAAAGTCAGTGCGTAGTTGTCCTGCATGGCTGCAAGGGAGAAAGTCCAACGCAGTGGAGAGGTCAGTACAGGCTATGAACAGCGGCTTCTCTATCTACATCTTGTGGTAGATAAATAGGCACGGAGGAACCTTATTGGCCTTGGGGGTTTTAATGGGAAAGTCCTGTGGGCCCCAGACTGACTGTGTAGTTAATCCAAGACAAAACTGGGACTCTGGTCAGTAGGCTGACAGCTGATTATCAGCAAATGTGGCTGGTAACATAGAACCCCTAGCCTTCTGATCCTGTCATAGGTTCAGTGTGTAGTATGATCCTGTCCTTCTGAAGTGGGTATTGGGCCTCTGGCTGGGAATGTACTCACATGGGATGAAGCCCATGTAAAAAGGAATCAGGCCTTGGTTTCGGTAGATGGTGGTGTTTGGCCAGTGGGTCCTGGGCAGCCTTTCACCCAGAGCACAGACTGGGTGTCTGAACCTAAACTGGAGAAAATGAATACGTGCTGACAGGTCCTGTCTGCCACACTGGTGACCCATCTGACTGACCCCCCCCACCTTACCAGGGTAGGGAATCAGACCTTGTTAGGATGTGAACAGACCCCAAGCCCCAACAAAGGGCCTTAAGGATGACCCCTGGGAATGGATGCTTACAGGTGGGAGTGGAAGCAGAACTAGCCGAGCCACCTCAGACTAGGCCCATGTTTTCCCTACCTGGTTCTTGTCAAACTCATCCATAGCTTGTGTGACTCCATCACGGTAATTCATCCCCATCACCCAGGCAAACCGGGGGACAAAGCCAGCATAGCCTGGAGATGGGTGGATGTCAGGGTTCTTCCCTGGCTGCCTTCCATCCATCCCTAAAGGTTGGTTGCTGACTCTTGGGGCCAAACTTAGCTCCTCACAGGGAGCACCTAGGCTGGCTCAAGGTAAAAAGAGTTAAGTGTGAAGCCAAACCCTATTCTCAGGGTAGGAAGGAGCCCAGGGGGCAAACCCTGTTATTCTCACCATCTCCTCTGGACCCTTGGAACCTCACAGGGAAGAGTTCAGGCACCCAGCACATACCTGAGATGGCCTTGCGTTGGATTAGGTTGGGGTGGTCTAGCTGGGGTAGTCGCTGGAACCTGCCTACATCTAGTGTCTCCTGCGGGGGATGTGGAGGCAGGTACTCATCCCTCCTGCAGTGGTAAAGCTGAAACAGGGAAGCGCAAATTATGCAGCTTGCATCCGAGTGTGTATTGGAGACAAGAGGACCCATGCCAGGATGTCTCCACTTACCTGGTACCTCCCTGGGCTCTCCTGAATAGGTGCCGCATTCTTCCAGGTCTCTTCCCCATATGCCAACAATAGACCTGGATGTCCTAGGTCTCTAGCTTCTGCCTTTCTGCCTGGAGGGAATGGTGGGTAGGGAGGATAAGGCATGAAGTCTGCAGGCAGTGAAACTTGTCTGGATATGTTCTCTACCTGTGGTGGCCCCTGGGTGTCCACCTCCTGGCGTGGGGGCTGGCCCAGGATCTCAAAATTCTTGTAGGGTTTCAGACCTGTGCAAACAGGGCAGCTTTTGAGCCATATAGGAAGGAGGGTGGAGCCCCAGTGGAGGCAGGGCTGGATGGGGCCCCACCCTGGACCTGAAGCTCACTGGTATAGTGGGGGATGTAAGGCGTTGTCAGGTCCCTGCAGGGAATCCATGGTGGCTTAGATTTACTGAAGTCCTCGATGAACTTGGGCTTGGACATAGGTGACAGAACAGAGCAGGGGCTCTTCTGTACGCTGGGATCCGTGAGCAACTGCGCCGTGGTGCGGCCATAGGTGTTCCCCACCTGGTAGCGCAGTTGAGGATAGAAACCAGCATAGCTGTGGAGAGAAGCAGGGGAGGTGCCACTCCTGGTTTCCTGATCTCTGCTCACTTAGATGAAGGTAATGGAAGCAGCCTAGGGCTCCGGGCAGTCAAGTCTGACGAGGCGCCAGTTCTGCACTTCCATCACTACTATCAGATTGTTGTTCACAGTGAACCCATACACCCAGCAAGTCTCTCATTCATGTGTATACGTGCTTTGCCTGCATGTATGTGTGTGGACCACATGTGTGTCTAGTGCCCGTGGAAGTCAGAAGAGGGTGATGGATGCCCTGGAACTGGAGTTATGGGTTGTTGTGAAGCCACCATGTGGATGCTGAGAACTGAACCTCCGTTCTCTGCAAGACCAGCAAGTGTTCTTAACAGCAGAGCCATCTCTCCAACCCGGCACCCGGCCATTCTCAACAATCTCCCTCACCCCATTGATGCTTCCAACAGTGATCAGCATTGAAAGGCGGTATAGGTCATTCAGTTTTTTTTCCCTATTTTATGTCCCATGTTGCACTTGGGTCTGGGCAGGTATGCACACACACTTTCTTTGGAGGTTTTTATTATTTATTTTGCAGTGCTGGAGCTCAGATCCAAGACTTTGCATATGCTTGCCAGGCACCCTCCCCCTGGGCAATACGTTGTCTGTTTTTGTTTTTAACTGAACTAAACTTACTCCATCTCTAAATCACCTCTTCCTACGGAGAGGAAGTCCAGCATTTGCTTATCCAGTTGCTGCCAGATCGTTTGGCCTTGAAAGACAAACCAGCCACCTAGTACTGCATTCAGGTTGAGGCCACAGGGAAAGGCAAGGCCTAGGCTTTCATCTGCAGCTCCACCTCAGAGTTCTCTCGTCCTAGAGCTCTTCAACCCTGGTGGTCTCGAGTCCTCTCGTTGGTAACCCTGGCTTTGAATCTCTTCGGCATTGGTCCTCAGCCTCCTGGAGTCCAGGCTAAACCCCAGCCCTACTGCTCAGCCCTCTTTCCCAGCCCCAGCCCCTCTCTGTCGAGCTCCCAGCTCTTACCCAGGGATGTAGTGGGGTTCTGGAGTGAAGAGGTTGTGTTTCTGAGTAGCTGTCATTTTGCTTTGACTCCGCCCTTGCTGGTTCAGCCCTTTCTGTGTCCACCTCTTCCCTGAAAAGAGACCTGTTGCCTGGTAACCATTGTGAAGGGGCCAGCATTATGGACCCAGCCATCTGTTAACCCTGTGTGTGCTCCCATTCTCACAGCATTTCTGGTTCAAAGACCAGGTAGGAAGCAAGGCAGGGCATCCTAGAAGGAAGCCCACTCACCCAGAGCTCAGGGGCTAGAATCGAAAAGGGGTGGGCCAGAATCGGGAAGGGGTGGGCCAAGACCCACTGACAGGCAGTCTCTGCTTCATGGTGATGCTCTTTACCCTAGTCCTTCTCCACCGATGAAGTCAGCACTGAGTCAGGCTTCCCAGATGGCAGCTGTGTGGACTCTCCAATAGGCTTGTTCCCCTGTAGTAAGACATTAATTTCTATACTTAACAAATTCTCATTCTGCTTTTAAATGTAGAAAGAACTTTTGGGGCTGGAGAGATGGCTCAGTAGTTAAGAGCACTGGTTGCTCTTTCAGAGGACCTAGGTTCAATTCTCAGGGCCACTCACACACACCTGTCTATAACTCCAGTTCCAGGGTTTCTGACACCCTCTCCTAGATATACATGCAGGCAAAACACCACCAAACATAAACAAAAAAAATTTATTTTTTTAAAAAAGATTTCTTCAATTCTTGTGAGATAGCTCAGAGGTAAAGAATGCTCGTCATGCGGCTGATGATGGAGTTTAACCCTAGGAACTCAGCAAGGGAGAGAACCTGCTCCCTAAAGTTGTCCTCTGACTTCCACTAATACACTTTAGCAAATAAAGTCTTATTTAATAACAAACCCTTTTTTTGCATATATGTGCAGCCCTGTCCAGATGTGTGCAGGTGCAAGGCCCAGGGTCGTTTTCTAGCATCCTCCACCACTGCCAACCTGTTTTCTAAAGCAGGCTCCCTCTGGTGTCTGAGGCTGACTGATGGAACTAGGCTGGCTGGCCAGTGCTTCCCCGACACTTGCTTTTCAAAACGATGTTTTAATCGTGTGTGCACACATGTGCTATGGCACTTCTGTGGAGGTCTGAGGACTACTTTGGGGAGTTGGTTATCTCTTCCATGTGGGTTCTGGGGCGTGAACTCAGATTGTCAGGCTTGGGTGGCAAGTGCCTTTATCCACTGAACCATCTTAATGGCCCAAGCAGGCCACCAAGACAAGCTTGTTATATGTGTGTGCTGGTGATCCAAACCAAAGTCCAGAAAGCATGTGTGGAAAACAGACTGAGTTATGTTCCCAGCTCATAGAAAGAACTTTATAACCATACAAGTGAATATAACATAAAGGGAAAAATTAGCAGCTTCTACTCCATGTCAAATCAGCATAAACAATGATAGAAGGAGACTAAACTTTGCAATAGCTGTTGAACAGGTAAGTGCACAAAAAAGACTTGTGAAGGGCTAGAGAGATGGCTCAGAGGTTAAGACCACTCTCTCAAAAGACCCTAGTTTGATTTCCAGGACTCACATCAGGCATATCATGACTCTAGCTACAGGGGAATCCAACACCTCTGGCCTCTGTGGGCATATGTAATCCAGTGCACATACCTACACACACACACACACACACACACACAGAGAGAGAGAGAGAGAGAGAGAGAGAGAGAGAGAGAGTTAAAAATACTAAAGGTAGAAGATGGCTTGGGCAGTAGTGGTACATGCCTTCAATCCCAGCATTCAAGAGGCAGACAGATTTGAGTTTCAGGACAGTCAGGGCTACACAGAAAAGCCTTGTCCTAAAAAAACAAAAATAACCTGGGCGGTGGAGGCACAGGCCTTTAATCCCAGTACTCGGGAGGCAGAGGCAGGCAGATCTCTGTGAGTTCAGGGCTAGCCTGGTATACAAAGTGAGTTTCAGGACAGCCAGGGATGTTACACAGAGAAATTCTGTCTCAAAAAAATAAAACCAAACCAAACCAAACAAACAAAAACAAAAACAAACCTAAGTAAATTCATGTAATTGCTTAACAGTCTCATTGAAAAAAATCTTTTAAAAAATCTTATGAAATAAAACATTAAAAATTAGCCCGCATGGGGCTGGAGAGATGACTCAGAGGTTAAGAGCACTGACTACTCTTCCGGAGGTCCTGAGTTCAATTCCCAGCAACCACATGGCAGCTCACAACTGTCTGAAAATCCAGTTCCAGGGGACCTGATACCTTCACACCAATGTACATAAAATAAAAGATAAATAAATCATAAAATTTTAAAAAAATTAGCCCGCATATTAAAATGCAAATGTAAACACAAATGTTTGACAACAAAACAAACTCATAGCCTCTAATCACAAAGGAATACAGTTGTACGGAATCAAGTTAATGCTGACATATGCTGGTAATGGCAGTTTCTAACGTGGGTCTCTGATTGGAGAACAATTTGCTTTTATAGAGCATGCCTAAACAAGACACTGCTCCCCTGACCCTAATGAGTGCTCTGAAACTCATAGCCAAAGATCCATGGTGGTTGTGGCGGGGACCAGAGATGTCTTAGCAGCTAAGAGTACTTGTTGATCTTGTAGAAGATCCGGGTTCAATTCCCAGCATCCACATGGTGGTTTCACAGCCAAATGTAACTCTACTTCTAGGCAAATCTGATGTCCTTTACAGACCTCCACATCACCAGGTTTGCATGTGGCACACATACATGCATGTAGGCAAAACATACATACATATGAAATCATGAAAAGTTACATGTTTGACACCATCACAGCTACGTCTGTTTTCTTGCTTGCTGTATAGCCCAAGCTGTCCTTGAACTTGTAGCCACAGTCTTGCCGCAGCCTCCCAAGGGCTGGGATTACAGGTGTAGGCCACCATGCCCAGCTCCACAGCAGTATGAGTGTGTATTCTAGAGGCCAGAGGCTGATGTTGGGATTCTTCCTCAATTGCTCCACGCCCTCATTTGTTTTTGTTTGTTTTGTTTTGTTTTGTTTTTGAAATATGGTTTGTCTCCCAGAACTTGCAGTGTGGCAGTTCAGCTCGACTGGCTGGACGATGAACTCTAGGCATCCTCCTCCTCTATCTCCCTGGTGCTGGGGTTGCAGAGGCACACACCTGGATTTTATATGGACACTGGGCATGCAACTTAGGGTGTTATGATGGCACGGAAGGTACTTTACTTACTGAGCCATCTATATCCCCACAGCAGTATTTATTGCAGGGAGGAACTGGAGTCGCCTAAACGGCAACAAATGCTTCTGCAGGACCCTACACACCAGGTACCTTAACACCATCAATTGTGTTCTCAACGGACACTGCACAATGCAGGAGAAGGCTCCCTTTGTCCAAATGAAACTTGTTTCCTCATGTCTCCATCCATCTATTCAGAAGAGTGCCAGTCAGGGCCAGTGCTAAAGGGAGCGTTCAGGAAGGGCCTCCAGAAAGGCCCGGTCCTGATAGAAGAGGGCTGGGGGAGGCTTTGTGGATAAGGTATTAATTGTCTGAGCCCTGCCTGGGAAGGGCTGGGACAGTCAGACCAGTCAATGGCAGAGGGCACTCTGCAAGGGCCTTATAGCCCAGGTGGGGTCTTGCTCCTTCGGACTCAGTAATCCTTTGTATATATATCATCTAGGCACAACCCAGTTCGTCTAATACATTCTGGCCTTCTGGCCGCCATACCTGCAGGCAGAGGCAGAAGACAAGCGCTTATAACTAGCCTTGACTGAACTGGCCTGATCCTGAAGCCAGGCCAGAGTTACTCTGCTTTGTTTCCCCGTGCCAGGATTGGCTCCGGGGGCAGCAGCTCTTCTTCTTCCTCCTGACTGTCTTTCTCCGATTACCAGGTCCTCACTCACACACCTAGCCATGCTGCAGGACTTGGCATGGTACTCACATGCCCTGCCCCCTGGTCCCCTAGCGTGGGGCCCCAGACCCCCCAAAAGTACTGCTAGAGGAGACGAGCTCCCAGGAGAGGGAAAAAGGGTTGGGACAGGTTAGAGCCCGCCTGGACCAAAGCTGACCTGGGTGACGGTTTCAGCAGGTAGTGAGAGGGCAGAGGATGGAGACCCTGTAAGGGAGCCCCTCCTGATCTGGACAATGTTCTTTTCCTAGGGAGCTCCCAGCAACAGAGGGGAGGGGCATGATCCAACAGTGAGGTCACAGAGCCCAGCAGTGCCCTCTAGCAAGAGAACCCCAAGACCCAGAATGAATTTTGACCAGAAGGCTGTGAAATTCCTGGCAAATTTTTACATCAATGGAGGCAAACACTGGACCCGGGGGCCCCTGAGTCAGCAACCTCTTCATCCCACGCAGTAATTTCAGAGGATGGTGGATAAGCGGGGACTCGGGTGGAAAGGCCACTATAAGACAGGTGGACAGTGGTTGTTGGATTCCTTGCAGGCCGGAGGCTGCTGTTCTATGGTGGGACCAGGAGCTTGAGGCAGCCTGTGATGAGATGTGGCCCCCAAAGGCAAAGAGGGCCCCAAGTGGCTTCAGAATGGGTGTTCCCAAAGAGTCCGCAGCTTTCTGCACAGGGACCCTGAAGGAGCTGTGTGAGTGAGATTCTCGGCTACCTCACTCCTGTCTCAGGCCAGTATGGGGAGGGATAAGAGGAAAGCAACTTTTGGGGAAGAAATGGGTCTAGAGTTTGCTTTTCGTACCAGTTCTGGAACGACGCCCTCCGATCCTGACTGACCTGGATGTCCCTGGTCCCACCGCGTATGAGGTGCCCAGTGCGTCTCTGCGGGAGTCCTCTCCACATCCCCATTACAGCATAGGCTGCAAGTACTCTGGCCGAGGTGCATGTTCCCACAACCCTGCCTATACCTGGGGAATGGGGGCCTCCTGCCCCGAAGACCTCCCCACCAACTATCCACCCTACTGCAGAGGGTGGTGGCCGCAGGGCATGGCAGACCTTGTGGTTCCAAAGTGAAAGTCCCTTCTTGCAGAAGACCGACTTCAACCAAGAGAGAAAGGTAGACTCTGTGTGGGGCCAGGTAGAGGAAGGGTGGGAGAAGATGTTTAGGGGACGCCTTGTGGAAGATGGGGGTGTTGCAGGTGAGGAGGGCGAGGAAAGGAGGGGTCAGGGAGCTTGTGAGAAAGGCTTGAGGGAGAAGCTACATGGCTGGGCCTGGTGATGGGCTGACCCTGAGAATCAAACACAAAAACACAGGTCAGGTCTGGAGGGTAAAGCTGAGCAAAGAGGCTGCAGCCCCAGGTTGCTTTCTGACTCCTCACAGTGGCCATCACCCGCCGAGTACAGGCCTCTGAGCCAGCCTGCCTTCCCGGCCTTCAGCTTTGGACGCCGACACCGCTCCGTTGTCAAGATACCAGAGAGTCATTTACGTCCAGGGATGCTTCGAGCTCGAGGTCCTTCTACCTATGTTCCACTCATGACTGCCTCACGGTCCTCTGGCGAGAAACGACCCAGCCCTAACACCTATAACATCCTTCCTGGGTTCCGTATGCAGAGCACACGTTCACCCGCCTTTTCCATGAGTCGCTCCCCAGCGTTTGCCTCCTGGGTCAGCTCCTGTAAGGAGGCCTAGGAAAAGAGGCTTGGTCTGCCTGAGGGTGGAGTGGGGCTTGGGGTGCATGGGGATGATGCGGTGGTAAGGACTAGGGTCAGCTCACTTTCTCTGCAGCCCGAACCCCAGGTCCGGCAGCATACTACGTGGAAGACTGCTACAATTCACGTTTCCCGTCTCAGCCTGGAGTAGTCATCCAAGGAGTGCGCAGACCCAAGCGGCACGACACAGGCCCCTTCTGCACACTGTAGGCCCATCGGGTATAGATTGCAAAGCTGACCTACCTCCCTTGAGGTTTTCCTAGGCTTCCTCTGGAATTCTGTCCGCAGCCTGTTCTTCTGATCTCTTCTGGCTTACACTGTGTAACAAAAAGAGTCTTCCCAGAGTTCCCCTCCCCCCACTATACTGAGATGCAAATGATTCTTCTGAATTGTGATCTCTGGTGTGCCCGGTTGCCCATCCTTTGCCCAATGGGCTGTTTTGAATATGTGGCTTCCTGCGTATTTCTGGTTTTCCTGATAATTCTGGCTTTCTCTGCTCCTGCACAGTGCTCTTTACTTCAGGATTGAAATGGCAGCCTGGGAACTAACCCTAAGTGTCCTTACCTGGGATAGAATAGAAAAAGGATCCTGTGACAATGTGGGACCACCTGATCTGGATATGTCACCGAAGGTCTAGTGTCTTCCTGAGGGTCAGGCTGCACGCGGAGCTGAGGAACTAGTTGGTGGGTTAGGGTGGTAGGTCAGAACCTGGACCTTTGCCATCTTCACACAGGTGTAGCCTTGCCTAGCCCACTGAGCAGGACCAAGGGAATCAGCTCACCAGACACTGGCCCTATTTCCCTGGACCTTGATGTGAAGATTCAGCTGGCCTTTGTAACCTGTGTTCTGAGAACCTAAGCCCAGAGCCTTCAGCCCTTGCCCCACAGTGGCTGAGTGTTGGTTTCCTCAGCACTGCTGAGCTGTTTTCCTACTTGGAAGGAGCCCCCCTGCCACACCCCCGTAGGAACCTCACCTTCCAGCTAGTGACAGCAGTTTCTCCAGGGCCCTCTCCATACTTTCTCACACAGACCTCGCTTAAAGACTTGACATTTTTTACTTTACCTTATGTATATGGGTGTTTTACTTGCATGTGTGCCTCGTGGCCAGAAGACATTAGAGCCCTTGGAACTGGTGTTTACAGATGGCTATAAACGGCCCTGTAGGTGCTAGAACGGAGCTCAGGTCCCCTGCCAGAGCAGCAAGTGCTCTTAGCTGCTGAGCTACCTCTCCAAACTCCCAGAGCTGACTTTTCTTTCTTTCTTCCTCTCCTTCCTCAGACGAGGGCTGCGGCTGCCAGTATGGTAGCCTTGACTGTCTTGGAAGTCACTGTGCAAACCAGGCTAACCTTGAACTCAGAGATCTACCTGCTTCTACCCCCTGAGTTCTAGGATTAAAGATGAGCATCATTGTTGAGCGTAGCACAACAGCCAGTTAATCCCAGAAGTCAGGAGGCAGAGGCAGGGGATCTGAGTTCAAGGCCACCTGGTCTAAATAGGGACCCTGTCTGAAGGGGAGAAGAAAGGATACCATCAAACCCAAACCAGAACTCACTTAAAAAGTGAGCTCATTCTATGTGTATGAATGCTTTGATGTTTTGTCTGCATGTATGTCTGTATACCACATGTATGCCTGGTGCTGGTGGAGGTCAGGAAAGGGCATCAGATCCCCAGGAACCAGAGTTATGGATAGTTATGAACTATCATGTGAGTGCTGGAAACCAAACCCAGAGTTCTTTGCAACAGTAACAAGTGTTCCTCCATGAAGGCCCATATTTCTATATGGTATGGCAGCCAGGCTCTGAAGCCATAGTTGGCACCTGAGGTAGCCTTCCAGACAGGCTGTCGCTACCCTAACAAAGGGTCAGGATGTTGTTCTGCTCCTTTGTAGTTTGGAGGATGCCTGGGATAGAGATGCTAATTCAGGCCTACGTGACAGAGCTGGTATACAGAGCAGGAAGATAGGGAGATGTGACAAAATGGGCACAGAGAGGTGTGGTCAAAGGTGTAGACGTAACTAAAGCCATTCACCTGGTTACCTAGGAAACAATGCTAATAAATTTCCTCCTCAGTTTATGTTTTGGTATAAAGGCTGTTTAGAAAATAAACACAGAAAAAATTTCAGGATGTAAACTCAGGATTTCATGAGGGATCACTAAGAATCTCCCTCCGGATAAAGTCATGTGAGTTGTGTCTTTATTCCCACGCCTCCACGCTGGTCCAGAGAGAGAGTTCATGTTGGAGCTTGCACCGGCCCCAACCCCTCCAGAGTTTGTTTGTTAGTGTGCACAGTTGCGTTCACATGGAAGTCAGAGAACTAGAATACTGTCAGCTCAGGTCTTCAGATACGGCAACAAGCACACTTACTAAGCTGTGATGCCATCTCTGAGAGCTCGCTCTTGCAGTTCCTGCCCCAGCTGCTGCCTTGGTGTCAGCATCACCCACTTCTGCAGAGTGGAAGCTTTGGACCAAGAGTCTAAGTACACCGTATGTGTATCTTCTGACTGCACCAGATGCTGGCTGAACCAAAATATCCTGGGGAATTAGGGTGATGGGACCTTTACTATGGGGCCCCGTGTGGAGCCGCTCCGCTGGCAAAAACAGTGGCAGAGGCACACAGCCCTGGCCTTAGGAACTCAGCCTCAGAGGGAATAGGAGCTCTGTTTATAGCCACATCACCAGGCATCCTAATGCCAGACATTGAACAGGAATTATCACCCTTCTCTGAGGGCCTCACAAGCCTTCCTAGGGCTTCCTAGAGGAGGTAGTAAGAGAAGCGGCTTCCAATGATAGGCAAGAATGTGAGGGACAGCAGGGAGGGAATTTGTAGCAGAGTAAACCTCAGCAGCAATGGCATATGAAAAAGAGAGGTGAAGTATTTGGAGGTGTGTGCGGGAGGCTGGTAGGATAAAGGGTGAGAGCTGGAACAGCGGGGGAGGCTGCAGAGAGTGAAATTCTGAGCCCAAGAGCTTACACACCAGACAGCCTGAGAGCCCTCCAAGCCAAAGCAGCTTCTTTTACTGTCAAGGACACGGGGATGCTGTGCAACCTGGAATCTAGCTCAAATCTCAATCTTCAGCATACCCAGAGCTCTTGCAAAGCACTTTTGGTGACACCAGAGGCATAATCAGATTTCAGTCCAAAAGAAGGCAATGGTGGGAGCTTTGTGAAGATCACGTACTATGCCTTACGCCTGTGGGCACAAGAAGACAAAATAGCAGCAAAATACGGTCATATAAAAATGTACTTGAGTACAAGTCAGTTTTGAAATTCATAAGGTAGGTGATTCTACCACACGTCCAGAAGCCTGCTACCACTCCACCCTTCTCTGCTGGCTCAGAATATGGATTCTGGTTTCCGGAGAGAGGACGAGGTGAAAGGCGGAAGTTTTCGTGGCCCTGGCGGCGGCGGCTAGAGTGGCCAAGGCCTCTCGAGAGGTGGTTGCATCATCCCGACACCGCCCCCTTGCGCGCTGTCTCTTAATACGCCCGGAACCTGCGCGTGGCGGCGGCGTTTTCCCGGGACCTATAGGCTGCTGGACCGTAGCGAAGGGCGGAAGTGGGAGGTGTGGGCCGGTGTAAGCGGCTCTGCTGGGGCGATCTGGCCACGCTGGAGGCTGCGGGCGAGCGGGGTTCGGGGGGTCCCCGTGGTGGCATCGTGGAGAGGGCTTCTGGCGCTCCTTCTGCGTCCTCGACGGCTTCAGGGGAGCGCAGCGGGGATGGGGTGCACAACCGGGCGGCAGCTGGAGCCTCGGCCATGTTCGCGGGGCTCCAGGACCTGGGCGTGGCCAATGGCGAGGACCTGAAAGAGACCCTGACCAACTGCACAGAGCCGCTCAAAGCCATTGAACAATTTCAGGTGGGCAGGAGGGGTCTGGGCCGCTGGGGAAACCGGACACAATTCTACCGTCTCCCGACGCTTGGATGGAGGCACTGGAGGTTCTGAGCTAGGAACCCATTGATTAACTGAGTGTTTTTTTTTTCTTTTTCGCGGTTATCACCGCGGACCTGTGTACTCGAGCATCCGTGGTGCCCATGCTGACTTAACTGCGGCCAAGCAAAATGCGTACGCGTTGACCCTCTGCTTTCCCAGACAGAGAATGGCGTGCTGCTGCCATCCCTGCAGTCGGCCCTGCCCTTCTTGGACCTCCACGGGACACCGCGGCTCGAGTTCCATCAGTCAGTGTTTGATGAGCTACGCGACAAACTGCTGGAACGAGTGTCAGCTATCGCCTCTGAGGGAAAGGCAGAGGAGAGGTGGGTCTCTACCGGGAAGCGCTTATCTTTGTGGGTAGCATTTACGCCCCCCCCCCATGGCTGCACAGTCGTGCTTGTAGATACGACCTGAATTATGTTTGAGGAGACGTCTCTGTAGGTCCTGCATGTGGAGACCCGCTTTTTCAGTTGTACAAATCTGCCCAGGTACAAGAAGCTGGAAGACCTTTTGGAAAAGAGCTTTTCTCTGGTCAAGATGCCATCCCTACAACCAGTGGTGATGTGTGTTATGAAGCACTTGCCCAAGGTGAGAGCTGTGGAGCCAGCCCTCCCAGGGTAGGTCAGAGAACCTGTGATAACATACTACTGCTTGGCTAACCTACCCCATGCCCTTGGTTGGTGGAGGTCAGACTGTCGACTTGGTGCAGGCAGTTGCTTAGCTCCTGGAAAGTTTTATGAACTGGCTCTCCAGCAAGCTCTGGGCACCTTCTCTGTATCATGCAGTCTTCCTCTGCATGAGTCAAGTAGAAACACATTTATCCCTTGAGTTGGAGGGTGGGTCTTCCCTGGGAGAGGGCTATAGGGATTCTGAATGTCTGAGTTCACCTGCCAAGACTTGGCGGTCCATCACAGGTGCCAAGTGTTGGTGTGGCTGGGCTCTGCAGGTTCTGTGGGCAGCTGAGCCCTCTTGGCCTATCCTGAGGGAGACTTGGGGACACAGGCACCACTTGCAGGGAGCTGTGGTGTTTGCTGTGTAGGTTCCTGAGAAGAAGCTGAAGCTGGTCATGGCTGACAAGGAATTGTACCGAGCATGTGCGGTAGAAGTGAAGAGGCAGATCTGGCAAGACAACCAAGCACTGTTTGGGGATGAAGTCTCACCACTACTGAAGCAGTATATCCTGGAGAAAGAGAGTGCGCTCTTCAGCACAGAACTCTCCGTCCTACACAACTTCTTCAGCCCTTCCCCCAAGACCAGGCGCCAGGGAGAGGTGAGGAAGTCAGGATGAGATGTGGCCAGCCCCTTCCCTCTTTCCTGTGAGTGTGTAGGTTAATGTGCTTCTATAAGCATGAGCGTGTATATGTAGCTGGGAAAAGGTGGGTTGGCAGAAGGTTGAGGCCGGGGGATTGCTGTGAGTTTGAGGCCAGTTTAAGCAATGTAGTTGATATCCTTTCAAAAACAAAAAGAAAATACTGAATTCAACTTTTTATCTATTTTTTAAGTCTATTACTGATGTTGGCATTTTTAGAATTCAAATCTGCCATTAGTGGCTTATTTATTTATTTATTTTTGAGACAGGATCTCACAGTGTAACCCTGTCTGGTGTGAAACTCCCTATATAGACTAGACTGGCTTTGAGTTCACAGAGGTCCACCTGCCTCTACTCCCAAGTACTGGGATTAAAGGCATGGCCATGACCTCTGGCTCATAAGTGGCATCTTTAGCCAGGTAGTGGTGGTGCACGCCTTTTTTTTTTTTTTTTTTTAAAGATTTATTTATTTATTAAGCATACAGTGTACTGCAGGCAAGGAAGGCACCAGATCTCATTACATGTGGTTGCTGGGATTTGAACTCAGGACCTCTGGACGAACAGCCACAGTGCTCTTACCCTCTGAGCCACCCCTCCAGCCCTGGTGCACGCCTTTTATCCCAGCACTTGGGAGGCAGAGGCAGGCGGATCTCTGAGGCCAGCCTGGTCTACAGAGTGAGTTCTAGAACAGGCAAGAACAGCTAAGGCTATACCGAGGAAACCATGTCTCGGGGGAAAAAAAAAATTAAAATGGCATTAAAAATTTTTTTAAATTAATTATATATTTTTTAATTATATATTTCTGTGTGTGGGTAGTGGACAT